ATTCTTGTAATACAATATATTGTATATAATAATGTAAAGTTTACAAGATAATAAAATAAATCTAAATCTAACAGGACGAACAAGTTGTCCACCTGGTGGTAAGCGATACTTCTACCCATATAACAGTTACAGTGCTACTCAGAGCTTTAAATCGCGAACATTTGTGGAACACTGCCACTGCGCCTGTCACCAGATATAAAGTAAATAAGTCCCATGTGCTTGTAATTTCACCAATACCCTAAAAGAGAATTTCAAAACTTCAAAAGAGAAACGCAGTAATGCTCACGTTACTGTTTGGCGGTAAAAATTGTTTTTTTTTTTATAAGTGTTCGCACGGTTACCTTGGGTAAGCCATTCAGTCTATTAGTGGCATGCTTTTATTTCATCATTCGTCTAATCAAGTTCGTTTAATATTTTTTTTACGAGCATCTTATATTAAAATTCATATTGAACGATAACTTAACACGAGAAGTCACGTCATTCTATCCAATGTAAATATATTTCCGTGGAGTTATGGAGGCAGATTCCATAGGTACGACAAATATTAGAGTTTCTCTAGTATGTTTTGACATTTTACACTTATGCGCGTTATAATTCTAAGTTTAAGCGTGATGTTTACTGTTTTTTGTTAGCACAATTTTATTTTGCTACATTTTTGATATCACGAAATAATGGATTGTTTTCATTATACAGCTAATTAAAAAAACAGTGTAGGTCAGAATTACGTACGTTACATTGTTTAAATAATAAGTCTACGTAATATTACGTGTTCAATACACACTACTATGCTATTTTTCCTTACTAGTTCAAAGTTGATTATAACTAGAAAATTCCATGGTTACCATGGTACTTACGTGTACCAGAGTACTTTGTATACTAGCAATTACATTACATACTCTGTGTTACTAGTGTACCGTTTCAAAATATCGGAAGAATAATAATAAGTCATAGTGTGGTAAGATCATGAAGTAAATTTTATTAATAATCTCAGTACAGTACTAAACGTCATTCTTAAAACTTAAAAGTCATTCATCTCCTAGTTTGCCACCCTTAGAGGTGGAATATTTTCTTTAAATTGAAATGGGAACACCACTGAGGTGGGTATTCTCTTTTCAACAAAAAATAATTATTAAAATCGATTCACAAATTTAGTTATCGCTTAATGTACATAAAAAAATACAGTCGATTTGAGAAACTCATTTTTTTTAAGTCGGTTAAAAATAGCAAGTTTATTGTTGGCTGCTACGTATGGAGTTAATTAATTTAGTTTAAGTGAACATTACGTTTTGAGTTTCTTAATAAATTGGTACCTTTTGAAGCTAATGTCTCTATAGCCAATGCTCAATAAATAAATAATACTACTAAAATGGCGGGTTTTGCAATTAATTACAATTTTTAAACGATTTTTTTAATTAATAGTTTTGGCTTGGATACAAGTCCTTTGAGCCATATTTTCGTTTAATTGTCGGGATCCTCAGTAATATTTGCCATTGTAGTTCTGAATTATAATACACTATGTTTTAACTTTCCCTTAAATAACTTAGTTCACTTATTCGGGTTTGGAGTCAATATTTATGTTGTACTTTCACTTAAATCGCATTGTCTTCTATCACTTTGAATTTGTAATTAGTGGAGTTTTCAGGATAAAGTCTTGCAATTTGGTTTAAAATACGGAGTATAGTTCTAACTTTCTTCATCTTCATAATATACTTAAAATAAAAATAGTCTTTGTAAAAACTGTACTCGTAACTTCAAAAACCCGTAATTTTCTTTAGACGAATTCATTAGGCATATCGTCCAAAACGCACATACGAGGTTTTCAAAGTTAAACGACAGCTATATAATAGTTTTGGTAAAAATAATTTGTTTAAATGATGGATGATAAACGATAACACCTCTGCGCGTTAAAGACTGCGTGTGGCTTTAGGACGCTACAGTACCTATTAAAATCGTTAGAGAATCTGTGTCTCTAATGATTCGACACGCACGCGTGACGGGTTAAAATATATAGTTCAAATTATTTGCGTTAAACTTTTTATTTACAAGTTTACCCTAGGAAACGTGCAGTTCGCAACAGAATTTAAGTTTATATCATGTTGGTCGCAAAACATATACATAAAAGCGTTGTAAAACTCATGTATGTACGTAAATAATTTACAACAAAGGCCATTTTTTGTACCATTATTTCAATAAAAAGGTTTCTTGCGCAAACGAATAAGTACCTATCTATGATACTGTTTTTGCCTGTTTGTTGGTTATTTTTGGCTATTTTTATACAGTTCAGGATGAGGTTATGCTACGTATAATGTTATTAATATTGAGCTTTGGCAGTAGAGCCAAAGCCAAATAATATAGGGCAGGTAACGAATAATTGAGAGGCTCAAAACGTAATAACATTTTTAAACTAATAATTAACTTTTGTAAAAATGACTGTAATAACTTTACAAAAACCTGCCATTCTTTTTCCACTTTTTTTCGCCGGTTTTTTCTGACTTAAAGCAGCTAGTTTTTATTTTTAGATTGAAAAATAATAGTGTTGTATTAAATTATCGATATCACTGTCTTATTTATTAATTTTAGTTATATAAATCTTTATTTTAAACAATCAAGAATTAGATAATAGAAAAATGTTAGACGTTTGTAGACTAAAATTAAATTTGCGTCGGAGCAAGTATAAATTCACTAATCTTTTAAGACACTTGCGCCGTTCACTTGTTGTTTATTATTCTTCAGAAAATGATGTACACGTGCACCGGCACTTCACTGGGAAGGTCCTCGCGTCCTACGTTCAAAAACACTAAAACTTAGTGGTATAGGTACGTGAGGCAGCAATTACATCGTATATAAGAGGCATTTCGCGCAAGGCACACATTTCGCGACTTAAGTTTGTTAAACTTATGGCTTATTTGTATAATTAATTTTATTTTCCTACATTTTCCAGATAACCTGGTATAATGTTTTTTGTATTTTTATACGTTTGTTAATATTCATATTCATAAGTGAATAGGTTAAGGTTGCATCAAAATTTTAAGTAACTATTTACATAGATATTATCGAATCCGTTTAAATAAACAAGTATGGCTTATTTACAAATACATATATTACATACACATAGAATTTTTCAAGTAAACCAAAATTGTATTCTTCATTTATTGCGCAAATCTCCTGCGCCGCAGATTAATGGTAAAAAATCTTTACAGTTCCTTTTTTGATTGACTCTGTTCCAGTGAGCTCACAGAGACACATCTCTGTACAGTTAACATTTCAACATTATATTTCAAATTGAATGATAACCTGTTAACTCTAATTAAATCTGACTATGACTGCATTTTTATAAAGTCCAATTAACCAACTAGTAAAGCCAGATTATTTACAATTCAAGGACAATGAAAAGCGATTGTAAATATACTTTGAATAAAGCGAGTAGGTAAATCAAGCATTACATCAGTGAATAAACACGAGTGATGTTAAATTTTACAACCTCTGGTATTAAATGGATATTCCTAAAGTTTGATTTTCCATTTAACTTCGTTACGTAATAGAGATTTTCCGATATCTCCAAAAACATTGAAGCAATCAAAATAGCATTAAAATGTCATTAGATATAGTGAAATGTTGTTGAAGCACAACTGTTTTGTCTTATCTATTGCATGATTATTGACGTCGTTGTTGGTCTTTATCATATCCTTATATAGATAAATAATTTTGAAGCCACTTATGTGACATGTTATATCATTTTGTGTATTATCTGCTAGTTTTATCTGATATGTTTTTTAAAAATAAAAAGGTGTACAGTACAGCACATCAAGCTCGAAACTTTGCTTTGTTGTTATCATAAGTAGCAGAGTTTAATAATGTGACAGATAGCCACACCTATTGTCTTTTTTTGTGATATCAAACGACGCTCAAGTCAAAAACAAGTCGTGCGCCTGTTATGCGCTATAATAGTTACAGAGCCACTCAGAGCTTTAAATAGCAAAGATCTGAAGGGCACTTTGTCGTTCCCTTAACCGTGAACCAATTTTCCTGTAAGGTTCGTTACGACTTTGCCCTACAATAGTTAAAATTTTCTGGTTCAAATTCATTAGAGGTGGTGACTCAATGGGAGAATTGTTGATTTTTAATTGAAAACGCTACGGTTCGGATCCCCGTGAAATGTACCTTCACCATGACCCATATTGAGTCATGGTGGCGGACTATGGCTTAAACTTTTGGTTGATGATAATTTCGCATCCTTGGTGTGATAAGGCCATGTGTCCAAAATTACAACTTTTCCGGAGAGATGTTTATGAAATTACTTAATAACTTTCATGCTTAAATCGGTCATGCATTAGAAGGAGCCCAAACCCATCATTATGACGTATAAAGGGTTCTTAATGAAGGTGTACATTCGTAGGGTTAAGCGTTTTTATTTGTTTTATTCTTCTCCCTAAGATTATTTATTTATTATTTATTATTGATCATTCATAGTTTTATTTAAAAAAAAAGAATAACTTAAATCAGACAAAAGTCTAATGATCCAATTACCATTCTTATGTAGTTAAGGAAAATGACATATTAATTAAATTAGTCATTCGAAGGAAATTGTTCACACACGGTGGTTAGTTATTTGCGTAAAACTTCTGTGGCGTATTGTAATTTGTAGTAGAGTTAGATGTGACATTGGTGCGTATAGACGTCTGTATGTGATTTTTAGCGTGTGTGAAGCAAGTTTTTCGATGAAAATATTACGTTTGCTTAAAACAAAACTATACTAAAAATCTGCATAAAAAAACATAATTTTTAAACACAACCAAACTTTTCTCAATAAACGTTTAAAGCTCTATTGTATCTTACGTGCAATTTTAAAAGTGATTTTTTTTATGTGTAAGTGACAGTAAAGTGATAAAAAACAGCGGTAAGAAGGGGCTTATAATAGAGAAAATGAAATTTTTATGATTTTTACCATCATCCAACAGTTATTTTCAATCATAATTGGATATTTAAAAAATCTATTCACAATGTTAAAACGACGAACTTCAAAACGTTTCGTGCTGGGAGACTCCACCAGCGAAGATGCATCGGCTTACGAGAATGATGAGGTCACTGAAACTTTGCCCAGCAATTTGAAGTTTCAAATGACATTAGAAGCTGAACCTGAAATTGGAAAACAGGAGGAGAAGCCGAAGGCCAAAGAAGATGGACAGTTATTGCGTTTGCCAAACGCTACATTGACGTGAGTGTCTTGTTAAAAAAGTACTTATTAAAAAATTTATTATAAATGCCTACGGGTTTTTAAAATAAACCTTGTAAAGTAAACTTTACAACAAAAGGTTCATGTGGATTTGTGTGAACCTAAATCACGGTTGCTATAAAAAAAACTAACGATTTAAAACTTGTAGGAATAAGTCAGCTGGTAATGTTTTCCTCTAAGGTCACGTTCGATGTCGACGGATTGTTTGTATAATATGAACAATCTTATTCTTGCAGTTAAAGAATGGTTATTAAACCATAGTACATCAGCACATTTTTAAGTGTAAAAATAGTGTTGTCCTAAACTGAACTGCGGTCTGCATTTTCTGAATTTCACAAATAGAATGAGACGTCAGTGTCAAAAAACTGATTATCTACTGGACAATATTACCGTTTTTTGAATGTCTAATATTAAAATTAAAATCATACAATAATATTAAATCATGGCCGTACATTTTCAAATGACGAAGGTTGTTAACAACAATTATGTATGAACAAAAAACTTGACACTTTGGACTTCGAACCATTTGTATCCAAAGCGACATAGAGTTGAATTTAAATCTCAAATGTCCAGTTGACATGCTCTTGGCTTTCCTAACCAGTGCAAAAAGCTCCATGTAACTGGTCTGGTGACTACCATATTATACCTGCTTTTCAAAAATAGTGTGGCCAAGTCAAAACAGTTCATTATTTTATTTATTATTCAACTGCATTCAAGGTGAGCTAAATTTTATTGTTAATAACATAGGCCTTAGAGCTATAACTGTGTTAAGCCAAAACATTCTAATATCAAAAAGAGCATTGTGAGAAAAAAGTTGCATAAAGTATTTTTTTTTTGGAATTTTTGAGTTTAATAACATTAAAAAAAATACATTTAACTTACTTGGTACAGTAAATAGTAAAGACTCCTATCCAGCCTTTACAATTTTACTTTGCAATATGAGCTATTTTTATTTAAAAACGCATATATTTCTCTTCCTTTGGTAACCGTCTAAAGATTCTTGTTGTAAAATAATTACAAAACACAGCACTGAAACCTTAGATTGTTTTGGTTGGACACGATAGAGCTTTCTTTGGTGAAAATAATCATTACAAACAACATTGGATCGGTACCTAGTACCTACTCGATACGTCGGCTTTTCCCGCCAAACGTGCCTCTTTTTTTTAAACTTTAATGTTTTTGATTATGCCATTTCGGCCACTGTCCTTGAAAGCCACCGATGTTATTATTAGCAAAAGTGTAATCCATCTAGCGTGCCCTAATACCAGTATGAGGTAAGAGCTTCCACGATAGTGCAGTTAAGGTGGCACCATACTACATTCAAAGTGAATATAGTCCTAAAACAAAAAAAAACATCGCCACGATTACAAGACCTATCTATCCACTAAAGAAATCAACGATACATTGTGAGACGTGCTGCAATTTAGTAAATACTTACGTCACTTGTACATGCATTAAATAAGTTTGTAATACTTATTTATTTGATTGACATAGCAATTCCCTGCGCGATCAATTGTGTTTGCGTGGTAAACTAGTTGTATAGCCAAAGCCAGTATTGATGGAATTTACTTCTGTTGCTCGTATACATACATACAGCTATACATCGAAATGTACATTTTTTTTCATTACATCGATACAATTTATCACGGTTTTAAAGGTCAATTTAGAATAACAATTAAGAACGCATTTTAACGCAATCATAATTTTGAATCGGTCATTATTAAGCCTATAAGGTCAAAGGTCCGTGGAACTTGAGGCTTGAGACTTAAACTCTCAATTCTATAATGCTTATGATAAGAACGATCAAAATGGTTGAACATCAATCTGTGGCACCTTGATAGGTTCTGCATTATTTGTTTTTTCCATCAATGAGAATGGTTTGAGTTTTTTCGTAAAATACATATTCAGATTTTATTTAGCTACACGTGACTAGTTTTATGTTTTATTCATGTTTAACAGGTCTGGCAAGGATGTTACAGATGGAACTACAGAATGGTGAAAAAAAAAATCCACGGAATATGCAATATCAATCTTTCGATAACAATTTAAAAATGCTTATATTTATTTATATTAATGTTGTCGTTTCTTGCGTGATATTCTGTTGCTTTATCCTGATACTATAACAAAGGGATAATAAGTAGGTACGCTTCCTTAGACTTAGTAGCTAAAATAAGTGTTTTAGTTAAAAACAAATGCGTATGTTTATTATTATTTCGAATAACACATTTCGATGGCATTTACGAATTCTAGTGTATATTTTTGATATGGTGCTCCTTCTCCGTCTGTCCTTCATATCTGAGGATCGTGACTGTGAGCAAGTACACCGTCAATAAATCTTCTTCACTCCTCACTCTGTCTTCGGTTAGATGGAGTGCGACATTTACCTGAATATGAGCATCAGAGCGACGGAACTCACTTCGTGACATTGTCGAGGACACCAATTTAGAAAATTTTATTTCCTGTACCTCATCCAGCGTTCATAGGGCTACTGTTGTGGGCCACCGAGATCGTCTGTCGTCGTTTTGCGACTGGGAAATCTTTAACTTTGCTGAAAGTAGGTAATTGCCGTCGATATGTAATATGACCGACCTTGATTCAAGGTAACATAGTCTCGTAATTATGTGCCTACTTAATATATTTAGTTTTATAAAACTATATTTTTTGACCGAAATTGATTTACCTTGGTGCCCGTCATAGCATAGCCGCCGGCAATGACTACCTAATGCGTTATTCCAATTTTATTTTTATTATAACACGAAACTAGAAAAACCTGTTGCATTAAGTAATGGGTAGTAGCTTAACTGTTACGTTTGGGATGCTTCATGTCTATGTATAGCAAAAAATACTATGCTTAATGATTATAAAGGTCGATATTACTATAGTAGTTGTCTTGGGGTACCTACATATTTATCATATTGTACAGATATATTACAGATCGTCCTTTTTGTGACTATTTATTCGCTTATTATTATACTATAATTAGAAATTGGAGAAACAATTTTTTTCCCTGTACAAAATTATTTCATAGACATTGTATAATAACTATGAGGATTTCAAATATTTAGTTACTTAAATTGTTTATTTTATTACCTACTTCATTTTTTGTTACATCTGTAGACGTTGCACCACAAACTAATAAGAGTGCGTTGCACTGTTTTATAAGGGTTTATATAGTATAATTTTCTAGCTCCATACTGAACTCACACTTAAAGAAAAAATGCATTTTTTAAAATTTACTTACGCTTCAACATTTTCGTCATTACTTTTACAATACGAATTATGTCATTATCTTCTTACTTGATATTGAACTAATTTTAATTGATTAAATGATATCTTGAATCTTTTTAGATAGTTCTTATCTGACCTGCATTTGATAATGCTTGTGTTGTATACACATGTTTACATGAACTTGTTTACTCGATTTGTTTACAAACTATCGATGTTTATCGTACTTTGCATCACTCAATACGTCAATGGCGAAAATAATTTTCATTTTCCTGGAGCCATAATTTCAAAACGGGCAACTTTGATTTGGTCTTCCGTCTCTTTCTAACGCTTGTAACTCAATGAGATAGGTAGAGACAATGCGATCGTACGATCTGCCAAGAGTTCCTATTGGCGTTTGTTACGTCAAACTCGTAAGAAAACAAAATAATATTAGTTACTATGAAATGATTTAATTTTGCTTGTTAATACGCGTGTATATGTGTAAAAATCGTTATTATCGAGTAAGCTAGTGCTATTTCTATGTTGTTAAAGTGAAAAATGTATCCAGCCATGAACGGTTTATATTCAAACAATGTATACAGGTTAGAAGAATTCAACTTAAGTTTTTCGCTTAATATCTTTGTAGTTTTACTAGTTTTTGCCATTGAAAACCTATATAAAATCTCATTTAATCATTATTTAGGCATAAAGTAGTGTTTTGTAGTCGTAAAGTGAGTTTTGACTAAGGAATTTGTTAAGTATGCCATTGGTTTCGATTTCACTTTTTTTGACTGATTTATTTGAAATTTCGCTCGTTTCTAACTCTGCTTTACGTCTAATTGTAGTTACATTATCGTATTTCGCAATTAGGTATTTATACCTTTGTATTTTAGAATTTTTTTCGTAGTTTCTTGCATGTACTTGGTATCATGCTGCCCTGCTAAGCCGAAAGGCGCTATCTCAGAGATACGCCCGTTTGGTTTTTTTTGCACCAATTTAATAGCTATAATAATTTCGCATCTAATGGTAGAATAGAAATAGCGCTGTCTAACTTAAAACATTTAAAAAACCACTAAGAAATATTTTTATATCTCAATTTTCCGCTGCCATCCGCTAACTAAAATGTGGCTATGTGACAAAATTATTTTTTGAGATATAAAAAACCTTTTTTGAAAATGTTTAGTGATATTTCAGTTAAGCATTGTTAGGGTAAGTTCCAATAAGTCAAACACGTTTACTAATTTTAACTGTTTTTAAATATTAACTTACAAATTTTTAAAACAGAATTTTGTGTTCTGTTTTTTGCTATTTTTTTTAATCTACTTATTTTTTATTGAGGGTTTAGCCACCTTGAGCGACTATGTCAGCCTCATGGGAATTGTTTGCTATTTAAAATGGTTATTGAAAATTTGGACATAGTTAGCAAAAAGGAGCCAATCCACAAAATTATCAAAAAATGAGTTTATGTACCAAATGGTTCCTAAAGTCTAACATACCTAACTCTAACATTAGATCAGCAAAAGAAATCCAACATATTCACATAAATAAATATCATGAAATACATATAAACATAAAAGTAAAACAAATATGAGAAAACATTTTTAAACATCTAACTGCTATATCTCGAAAGTGACTGGATGTGCATTGGTTCCTTTTTGTTTAACTACGTTTATTTGTCACTTAGCCGCATTTTAGTTAGTGGTTGGCAGTAGGTAATAGAGTTTGGAATGGGAAGAATATATTTATTTAAACTTTACGGAAGTAATACATAATTT